AAGCAGCGACGTGGCTCGTAGCAGCCGGAGCAGCCCGGCACCTCCGCGACCGCTGGCTCCTTCTGCCTCACCGCAGCTCGGGTTCCCCACTGAGCGAAGAGGGGCCACCCGCTCCCCGGAGGGATGCTCGGGGGTGAGCCGGCAACCAGAAGTTGAAAAAAAAAAAAAAAATCAATTCTAACAACATCAATTGTTAGAGCAGGTCCAGAGAGGTGATTCTGCCACTTTACTCTGCTCTGGTGAGACCTCACCTGGAGTATTGTGTGCAGGTCTGGAGCCCTCAATATAAGAAGGACATGGAGATGGAGAGGATGCAGAGGGTCCAGAGGAGGGCCACAAGGATGATCAGGGGGATGGAGCACCTCTGCTACGAGGACAGGCTGAGGGAGCTGGGGTTGTTCAGCCTGGAGAAGAGGAGGCTCCGGGGAGACCTAATAGCAGCCTTCCAGTACCTGAGGGGGCTACAGGAAGGCTGGGGAGAGCCTGTTTAGAAAGGCCTGCAGTGACAGGACGAGGGGCAATGGCTTCAAGCTGGAGGGGAACAGATTTAGACTGGAGATGAGGAGAGGGGTCTTCACTGTGAGGGTGGTGGAGCACTGGAACAGGTTGCCCAGGGAGGTGGTTGAGGCCCCTTCCCTGGAGATATTCAAGGAGAGGCTCAAGGAGGCCCCGGGCAACCTGGTCTAGTTGGGGGTGTCCCTGCTGACTGCGGGGGGGTGGGACTAGATGGCCTTTGGAGGTCCCTTCCGGCCTGGGCAATTCTATGATTCTATGATTCTATGATAATTTAAAGCCTCTGAACACCGAGCGCAAACGCAGGCGGGGGCTCTCGTCTGTACCATCGGGCTTCAAATTCGATGCTCAATTCGGGCCCATGCCGCCGCTCGGAGGGAAAGCGCAGCGATTTGGTTTGGGCCTCGGAGCGAGGGATGCGTTATCTCCTGATGCAGGATTAACACAGCCAATAAAAGCAGAGATTCCTGAGCTCTAAACACTTTAAAAAAAAAAAAAAAAAAAGGGCAAAAAAAGCCCCCTGGCCCTGCTATCTTCAGCGAGGGATCGGCACAAGGGTGTCCCCTGGGAAGGGCTGAGCCTGGCAGCAGCAGGGGGGGTGCAGGATCTGGCCAGGCCTGGGAGATGCCCCTTGCTCAGCCCCTTCCCACCCTGGGCACCGACGCCAAGGGGCAGCTCCGAAGGGCAGCCCGAGAAAGGTGAAACACAACCCAGCCCCTGTTTCACTGCTCCTCCAGCTCCCTCCTCCCAGCAGAGTGGGATAAAAGCAAAACCTGCTGATTTTCAAACCAAAAAACTCAACTATTCCACGAAGCTGCTTTGCCTCCTGCTTCCCTGCAGTGATGGAAACACATTTGCTCCCTGCCCTCAGGGCGCTCCTCTGGCCGTTTCGCAGAGCATCTTCCCCCAAGCTCAGCTCAGCCAAGGACCAAGGGCTTTGGGAGAGGCTGCAGATGTCCAAGCGGGACTTTTGCAACCTCTGAAAGCCATGAAAAACGTAGGGGGAGATCAGAAGCCACCTCTTCCACCTGCTCTGGCCAAAACTCACCCGGCACCGCCAGTCCTCCGGCAGCGAGAGGCAGCAACTCTGCTCCCTCCCCTCCACCCTAACGAGCGCCACAGAAACGCCAATGATAAATCCATTAGCTCAAATTAAACCGGATCAATCACAGGCTGTCAAACTGGCAGCTCCCCAACACATCTTGAATTATTCTCCCATTTAAGGGACGCGAGCCACATTTCTTGCCGTGCCCCCGGGCGCAGGCAGCAGGGACCTTGCCGCCGGTCTCCATCCTGCAGCGAAAGGGATGATGAAGCAGCAGCGAAGAGCAGAGCCTTGGGGTGCAAAGCCCCAAGCCACCACCTTTACCAAGGGGTTATCGCCCGCCTTTCTGCATTTTTAAGGCCAGCAACAGAATTTGGCCCCCAGTTTTAAAGCCACGCATTAATATTTTGCACCGAGCAGCTGCTCAGCTTGCGGGGAACTGCTGGGAAACTCTGCTTTTTCAGGTTTCTCCCTTTTAATTCCTCGTGATTTGATTGAGGGAGATTTTGTAGGAACTTTCCCCTCTCTGGATGCACCTTTTCTGGTGGTATCTCCCCAGCAGCGGGGCTGGACTTGGATAAACCAGGGTTCCAGGCAGGACACCCCCTTCCCCGCAGGCAGCGCATCCCCAGCCAGGGCAGCACCACCCTGGCAGCCGAGACCAAGCCACCAAACTAAGCAGCAAGTGGGAGCTCTCTGAAAGGCCCAGGCTGGTCCTCACTGGGCCACCAAGTGTCCCCAAACCCTCTGTGTCCCTGGGATCTGTCCTCTCCGGCTGCAGCAGATGTTTTTTGCTCTAAGGAATGGCTCTGGGTGCTGCCAGGCTGCAGATCCACGCACCCATCCGCTCTCCATCTATTTTGCAGGCGCTCTGCCTGCTCCCACTCTCCTCTCCTCTCCCCTCCCGGTTTGCTCTTTTCTCCTTCCCCCAAAAAAGCCTCATCTCAGGGTAAGGCTGGGCACGAATTGAAAGAGCAGCTGCTCTTCTGCCATCGCTCCCTTGCGCGAACGCTGTGGGAATTAGAGCACCTTTTGTCAGGTTTTAGCTCAATCCGCTTTGCAAGTGGATTAAGAAACTGGCACAAAAGTACTCGGGATGTGGAGTAGGAAGAGGCTGCTATTCCAGAAGGAGCCGCGTTTGCTGCGATTGCTGCCTGCTCCATTTCCCCGAGAAACACAACCCCGGGAACATTTGCATTTCAACCATCCCTGGGATTTTTTGACAGGAGAATCCGCCTAGCCCTAAAATCAAGGATGCTGAGAGCAGGGGGCAGGCAGGGCCCTGGGGGTGGCGAGGAGCAAGAACCTGCAGGACTCGGTTGGGGGGGAAAACAGAGTGGTAGAAGATGAAGAAGACCCTTCCTGATGCCTGGTGATGTTCAGACCCGCTGGGGTCTGCCAGGGGAAGGCTGGGAGCAGCAGCCCCAGCCCTGCCGGCGGGGAGACTGCGGGTACCAGACCCTCCGAGCAACCGGGACCGAGCGGCGGAGGATGGATGGAGCCGGGCAGGTTGAGGGCTGGAGCTCCCGGTGCAGCTCCCCGCCTGCTTGAGGCCATTTAAATCCCGGTGCCACGGCGGGGAGAGGGGGGGTGAGGGGGGTGAGAGCCCTGTCTCCCCCCTCCCCTCTCCTCCGAGCCCCCCAGCCGGGGCTGAGTCCCCTCTCCCGGGGAACCAGCGGGGCCTTACAGCCCCGGGTGGTGGGTACCGGGGGGGCAGACCCCGGGGTGATGGAGACAGATGGAGAAGGGTGGCCCCGGGGGTGTCCGCGGCCGCATCCCCCCCGCACCCACGTGTGCGCCCCCGCCGAGCTCTGCGGGGTCCGGTCCGGTCCGGTCCGGCCCGGCTCGGTCCGGTCTGACACGAAACGGCACGACAACGTCTCCCCCCTCCTCCTCCCGGGACCCCGCACTCACCGCTCAGGCTCCGGCTCCCGGGCTGCCCATGGCGCGGCGGCGGCGGCGGCGGCCCCGGTGGCGGCGGCGGCGGCTCCGGAGAGACCCCGGCCCGGCCCCGGCGCGTCCACGGGG